AAATTTTTACTACGTTAATAAATAAATAAATAAAATAAGAAACAAAAAAAAAAATAAATAAATAAATAAATAAAATAAAATAAAAAAAAAAAACGAGCAATATAACTTGACCCAAATAAATGAACAAAGCGACTTCCGGTAAAAATAACCGCCATAATAGAATACCCACAATGCACCACTAACCCGTATATATATAAATAGCCGAGAAAAATAACAGCACACGTGGCCTGACGATTGCATATAGCATGAAACAGACTGTCGCCTCTAAGTGTTGACTTCTATGTTCACTTTTATATTCACACGTTCTATCTCTGTTATTGAGCACTTTATCCCATAAATATAGCACTCCTTAAGACTATATTTCTTTATATATATATATATATATATATATATATATATATATATATATATATATATATATATATATATGCATGTTTCATTAAAAACGACAGACAAGGTACTACAGTTGAGCTTTTTATTTAATTTTTCTTGTGTTCTGACAAGAGCTTTCTTTTCTGGACAAAGAGTGTGTAAGAACTCTCCGAATGTTCTGTGTTTCCGAGCGCTTTCGGCTATACCTTTAGCCATTATCAAGGATGGTTCAATTATCAGCTTAGTAGAGTGTTCTATGTATGTTCAGTGTGTGGTAGTGATGTTTTAGTTTCCGAATACGGTTAGCACATTGTGGCTTTGTTCATAGTTGATATTGTTAAGAGTTGGCTTTTTCTTTTTTTTATTATTAGAGCTTCCATTATTTTTAGTCTTTTTTTTTGCAAGTGGATGCAGTTAATATATTAGTGTTTTCTACTAGTATGTTCCTAATAGTGTCGGGTAAATCTGAGTGTGTGTTTAAATGTGTTCTGATGGAACTGTGATCAGATAGGTGTAATGTAAGACGTCTGGATAAACATGTGGTTGTGCAGCCGATGTAATTATTTATGAGTCGGCTACACAACCAAGTGGCTAGACGTCCGGCTGCCACTTGCTAGGATCGAAACGCTGCTGAATTGTCGTCAGTCGGAGATTCCACCACTAGGCCGTTGGGGCAGGACAGGGATGAAGGTGAATTTAAGCGTATTTATTTTTAGATAAACCCACAGTGACTGAGAGGACTCATTAAATAATATAGACAAGTTTTGTCTATTTATTTTAATTAAATTCCTTTCATGTTGTCTGATAAGCTTAATAACATTATCAATGAAAGACGAAAGGAAATCACCATATTGATACATGTTTTTAATCCTATCTAAGCTTTCGGCTTACATAAGCCATCATCAGAGATGGCAAGTATATTACAATATATTAAATAATATACGAACACAGCAACAATGTTAATCTGTTTTGTTTGCCTGGAAGATTTCCAAGCAACGCTAAACTCGTTCATATATATATATATATATATATATATATATATATATATATATATATATATGTGTGTGTGTGTGTGTGTGTGTGTGTGTGTGTGTGTGTGTGTGTGTGAAACATACATACTCTGGTCATCGGATGTAATAAGGTAATTAGAATTATGTTTCCCACTTATCGTCAAAGAACATAACGCATTTATCTTTGCATACAGTTTGTCCTTCTTTCATTGCAATCTGAAAAAAAAACAGAAGCAGACGCCCTCGACGAAACGCGTCGTTTATATATTTCCTTCTTTCTCTGTTTTTTTTTTTATCTTCACATACAGAGAACATGTAACTCGAATGTACAATAATGATATATTTAATTTGCTGATGTTCCAAACTGCTTCCAGTTAGGCAGTAAGATACCTCGAAAATGTTGTAACATTTACGGGACATCAAGAAAAGTATTTTCCCGAAGTTTTTTCGCGGTTTGATTTTTGTTTTGTTTTTAATAATGTTCACCCAATACAAATCCCAAGAGTCACTCAAAGTAGAGGATTTCTGTGAGGAATTATATTAGCGTAGGAAAGTACAAGCCTTAAGAGTATACAACTGAAGCAGAATTTCGAAGGAACCGGAGGCCCAATCTTAGACAGAAAACAAGAAATAAACCTTCTACTTCTGTTCAAAAGACTGGTAAGGAGTGTGAACCGGACGATAGCCGGAAATATTTACTCCTATTAATAGAAAGATTTTATAAATTACAGTCGAAATTACCACCGGCTGTTCAGTCAATGAATGTTAATGTTAAAGCATTAGCTAATATTACCATTATCAATAATTAACAGATAATATGCATTGATTCCTGCCAGATGGGCCGTGAATGAAGAAAAGCTTAATTCGGGAACTGGCAGCTCAGTCAATGAATGGTGAATGAAACCGCTAATATTACTCTTACCTGTATCATTTATGATTGGTCTTTTATACTTTTGTTCTCTGTCTTGTGTTTTAATCGAAAAATTATAATTATTCACTGCTGAACATTATTTCAAAGAAATACATCATCAAAGCGTTTAAACCAGTTTTGAGCTATAAGGTGATATATTTTTGAATTTCTTTTCCCTTCTCATATTCCGTGTTAATCTTCAGTTATTTACAGTCCCTCAATTCCATATAAACCCTTGTCCAAATTAATTGAAACAAAACGAAAAATTCCGTTATTATTATTTTTTTTTTCGTATTTTTCCAATGAAATATGATCCAGTGAATATTTTAGTACTTCGAATGTCCATTTCACGAAGTCGTTCCTTGAAGATTGACCACAAATTGTCGACTGTATTTACATCAGGAGAGTTTCCTGGCCAGTCTGCAGTACTTTGATTTCATCACTGATAAGGTTTGCCAGTGTGTTCGTGCAGCGTTACAATTTTCGTACTCTTCATTGGAGTAACGCCCATCGTAGACAATGGCCGTAGGATAACTAATCAACAGTCGAGACAATAGTGTCTGGGTGTGAAAAAAATCTGATTCTATCACGGATGACGCCAAAATTTTACAAGGCCAAACAAATTACATCATACACCCTGAACAAATATTCATATTGCTGCACACCACTGCAAATGGCGTAATCATAAAAATAGAAATTGATTACACCCTGTCATTTCATTGGGTCTAAAAGTGACCGTATGGTGAAGGAAAGGAAACTAAGGCATTTGTTTCAATTAACTTGCATAATGTTGTATTTACATCAAAAGTGAATGCGAACATTGATTAACAATCACTGATAAAGTGGTGGTCGAGACCAAATACCTTATGTTATTAACTACTTGCAGGCTTCACCCGTTCGCTATCGCTTCGCAAAGCAAAATATATTCACTACTTGAAATCTTTGAATCAAAAGTTTTAAATGGCCATTTCATTCATAAATTGGTTTGTTATAGTTAAGGAAAGTTTTAAAAATAGATGCCAACTTGTTGAAGGCCAGGTAAAATACAAATTTCAAACACTTATTTGTACTATATATGATGATATTCCTAAACAGAACAATTCTTGATATGAAAATCAAAACAATCCTCGAATAAAAGAACAATAATGAAGGGGAGATAATTAATGAAATAAACATTTTTTTTAAATCAATATGCAAATTAGTTAAACCTGAAGAGTGATATTGTCTAGAAGTAGATATTATATAATGCAGATATTGAGACTTTATTGTGAAATTGCTATAAAGTAAAGCTGAGGTTTCTTAATCTCAAAATTCGTGGTGAAATTGGGGTCTGATTTCGAAATTATTCATGTAGATTCCGTAATATTGGCTTTAGTTAATTAGCTATTACATTTCTCTAACTCTTCAAATGTTGAATGTATAACATTCTAATTTCTTTCTTTACGTTATATTAATTGTATCTTATAAATTTTCCACTGTTCTGTCACAAATGAAATAAAAATAATTGTTTGTACGGAAAATAAGGATCTACTTACATCAAATCGTCTTTAAATTAAGTGGCAACAGAAGAATTATCCTTGAACCTTTAAAATGTAAGCTTAAACAATAATTCCATACTAAAATGCAGCGATTAGTTTTGAGTTCTTCTGCAGTTTATTGATGCATATCGCATCTACTTCTCCCTAACTATTGTGATGATGGCCAAACCTAGAGTCCTTGTAGCTTGGTTGAATGGCACCCGATAGTGCGGCTTTTAAGCTAGTTTATTAAAAAAAAAACGTACATTGCAATTTTTGATACAAAAAGAAAAATGAGAGTTACCCCCCTTGAATTATGAAAGCAACTGTAATGGTAAGTATAATATATTAATATATATTTTAAACCGCGCATAATCTGGCAACACTGAATCTTTGTTCAACGAAAATCGTTCCCTGCACCTAACTTCTTTCTAGGGCTTTCGAATGAGCTATGAATCATATATATATATATATATATATATATATATATATATATATATATATATATATATATCAGTTTGATAATGAAAAGAAATAACAAAAAGAGCATTTTAATTAAATATATGTATTGAGATCAAGTGTACATCGTGATCAAATTTTTTGCTCATGCTTATCACCACTTGATTTAGGTTTGAAGAGAGTCTCTCCGTTCTTCTTTTCCTAAAGCTCCCACCTAACGTTCCGCATTCCCTTCACAAGATCATGTTGCATTCCCTTATCTCATTTTCCCTTAATATGCCTCTTCAGGGTTTTGGGTTTCCAAAATCCTTGAGCCTTTTTTTGGCAATGAATTTTTTAATGTCTTTTCCTGATTCTGAGTATAAGTCTTCTTTCTTTCTGTTCCTTTTTCTCTTTTAGACTCCGTTGTTGCTTCCTCGTTTCGTTCATGTAATTTTCAGCATTCACTGGTATTTAAGAATAATGATAACTCTCTTTGTTTCTAATGATTTATTTTATTTCTGAGTCCATTGCTTAGCTTTTGGAATGTTTCTATCGCAAGTCCAATGGGTATTCAGGTCTCGGTGTCACATTTGCCATCCTCTGTTAGAACACTTCCCAGGTATTTAAAGTTATTGATGTTGACATCTCCAATATGTAACCCTTATCTTCGGATTTTTTCTCTTCCTGATGACCATACATTCTGTCTTGTTGAAATTGACGCATATTTTACCCGACTTTTTATGGTCCCAGCGCTTTTCTTTTCTTTTTCATTGCTTTCTTTTTCAGCAATATTACAAAGATCAAAAGTGCCAAACAACTGAAGACGGTTTCATAGAACGGTGGTCGAAACGTGAATATAAAAGAAACAATTCGAAAGTATTTTTTACATTATTCGGACTATTGTCCTCATTATTGTCGCCATATTTATTAAAACTTTTCGACCGTTGTACGTTCCGGCCTTCTTCAGTGGATAAAGGCGTTGTTTAGATACAGTGACAGGACACAAAGAGTGTGAGTTCAATGCCCGGTTAAGGCAGTGAAGAACTTGCAGAGGGGAATTAACTTTAAAAAACTGATAACTGACATCCATCAAACATAGCACGTGGAACTAGAACAGTCTGCCCCAGTGAGCAAAATAACGGGTCCAGTTCGAAATTCCAACCTCCTGAAGAAGGCCGGAGCGTACAACGGCCGAAACATTGTAATAAATATGGCGACAAAGATGAGGACAATATTCTGAATAATGTAAATAATGTACATAATACCTTATCTCAGAAATATAGACAGAATTCGAAATGAATTTGTTTCTAACAGCCATGACTCATTTAAAACATTTAGACAAATTGCACCCGCCATTACAATGACTGAAACAAAATATACAGCAGCATAAAACAATAACCTAAGGCGTTAGAGCCTCAGGCCATTATTTTGTGGCTCTCATGGCCACTGATCTTAATTGTTCAGAAGTTTTAACATCCGTGTATATCTCTGAGATGAGGTATTATGGTATTTATCCACATATTCTTTGCATATTCACAAAATTTCGGACACCGCGGTAATTTTTCTAATTCTACGTGCCATGCCTCTCTTGGGTGTATCAATTATTTTCTTTGACTCAACTCTCCAAGTTTTTATTCACAACTGCTGTGGCCTAGTATTGACCTCACAACTCTTTGGACCTAGTCACTGGATCTAACCAGCGTCTTTATCCATTAGACCATCTTTCCAGTGGATAAAGACGTTGATGAACCAAAGCAGACAGCGCCCCACACCATTACTCCAACCCCTCCATGTTTCACGGTCGCCTGTAAACATTCAGTGTTCCAAGTCTCATTTTGATTTCTCAAGCATAAACCAATCTCGAATTGGCAGAATTTACTTTCATCTGACTAAATTGCAGACTGCCAAAATTCATAATCTTTACTCTCGAATTCTCTCGTCCACTCCTGTTCCTTGTTAACCTCTGAAATCAAGGGCTTCTTTCTTGCAACTCTTCTTTGATAGCCTAGCTCTTTCAGAGTCTTTCGCAACACATATGACAGCATTTCCATGCTGTTGGCGACATATTTGACGCTCTGATGACGGTTTCTGGTGACTACCTTCTGTAGTGCTCCTTTCGTTCCCTCAGACACGAGGCTTGGTCTTTCTAAACGTTGTTCCACATGACAATGGACTTCTTCATTAAATTTATTGATAATATTATTAACCATTTAATGATTAACCTGGAAAAACATCTCTATCTGACTTACCACACTGATGTCATCCTATTATTTGCCCTTGTTGAAATTCAATAATTTCATTACTTCCACGAAATTTCATTGCAAGATATAAGTCAACTATTTTTCAAAGATGAGAGTAGCTTGATACTGACACGGTATTGTGTGAAAAAAAGAAGAGACGTTATTAAACAAGGCAAAATTGCTGTAATCAAGGGTGGCTAAAAACAAATCAGCCACTGTACGCTGCTTTCCCCTGTCCCTTCACTTTGTCCTGTTAGTATCAGATTTTCTTAGCCCTCTCTCCTCATTAGGTGCCATAATAACTACTGTTTCTGATGTGAAGTATAAGTGTTATTTTCGTCGATATTTTCTTAAAAACTTCGTCGTTGCTCACATGTTCGGTCCATTGTATTCTCGGCAGCATTTTCTAGAAATGTTACCTCAAATATTTTCTACATCTGTGAGGAGAATATTCAGCATTAACTGCCATATTGGAGGACCGATATGACGTAACAGTTTTTTAAAAAATCTTTTTCTATGTTTCTAACGGAATATTTTTTTCTTAATAATTTCCTTAGCGTTTTGGATTCAACTTCCTCGTTCCCAATGCGTCATCGGATTTCGTCATCCCATTTACCGTCTTCTGATGAAAAAGAAATATCTTATATATTCAAATTTACGTATTTAAAAAAAAAGAATCACCCTCAAGCAAGGCGGGAATGCTACAAGTATGCAAAGGATTACAGGGAATTAAAGTGAGAGAAAAAAACTGAGTATAGGGAGGATTTAGGGGAGAACAAAAGATGAACGGAATTAAAGAATAGACGTTTCATTTAAATTTCGAAGATTGTAGATATCACGGAAAAAAATAAACAGAAAGGATTTCGACAGACGGGAATTGCGTAAAAGAAACTATTAGAGTATAAGTGATGGTTGCATTTAGCTAATTCAACAGTAAATGGATGGTATCTAGTTTCTATTCTCCTAGGACGCTTAAATTCATGTAGACGAGATACCAGAGAAAAAAAGCTCGACAGAGCAAATGCCCATAAGAATATTTATAGGAATGTCAGAGGGAAGCTAAGTGTCGTCGCAGGGAATGTGTCTGAAGTCGAGATACCAAGCCAGGTTCGATTACAACACAGATACTTGGAGATGAATATCAGGATCACCAGAACAAATATGGCTGCAGTCATTGTTTAATTTAGGTATTTCTCATTTCTAATTTGCGTGTTGGGATCTTATTTTTACTGACAACCATATATTCTGTGTTGAGTACACGAGGCTTTGTATAGATGTACACCAGCCTCGGTACATGGAGAAAATTACTTCGAATCAGACAGAGTCAATTGAAATATCATAATGAGGAATGTGTGAGAATTTGATTCCCACATGACATAGCGAAGGAAAGCAGTGAAAAAATTACATTGAAACCTTGTAGGTAAGTGTTTGGCAGAACAGGGCTTAAGAAATATAACAAAAGAGAATCTTTACTAAGAGCGAAGATTGCTCAGGCGCATTTGTGTTTATCAAACACCAACAGAGCCGACTCACATCTATATTATGAGGACCGTAATTACAGTTTCTGGGAAAGCGCGTGTTATCTAGCGTAATTAACAATTTGAACAAGGCCAGCACGTTCAAGCCCTCGGCTAGGATAACTTGTCACTTCGTTCTAGCACACATATGGACGTTCCCCAAGGGTTCCGTCTACACCCACAAACCTTGGGTATGGGTACGGTTTTCAAAAACTGGAATCAAACTTTCCTGCCTTTCGATCATGGTGGGATTCCAAACCCGTTTCTCATGGCCACGTGCCCACTCTTGAAAATAATAACCCTGTTACCGTCTTTTTAAATGACTGACGCAAATCTAGAGAAATCTTTTGAATGTATCTCGTGTCCTAGCCCTCAAAATTGACATCGTTTTATATTTTAATAATATTACCAATTTGCCTAGATAAGGGCAAATAGTTACCTCCCCACCCTCAAAAAAGGGTTCAAAACACTATAAAAGTTTAAAAATAGGTTTTAATACTTCTTTTGGAAAAATAATTACCAGCAGCACATTTAAAAAAAAAAAAAGATATTATCTACAATACATTTCTGGAGGTTGATATGCCGTGAAACAAAACAAACTTTATTTTTTTTTTCAGTCATGACGCCCTCTAGAATGCCATCCACTAGAATGCCGTTCACTAGAAAAGGCATTTTGTGTGTTAGTGTATGCTCGAAGACAGTCGAACTAGAGGTTGCCAACACGAAAGTAGATTTGGGTATAGCACAAACATATTCCAAAAAGAAGTCTGTCTGTGCAGGGGAAAGGGATCTGGACGACCCCACCTCTGTATCGGAAAATATCAGGTTCGGAAAACATTTATGCGAAGCCACAATCTGTAAGAAGGGCGTTTATAGAAACAGGTTTCTTGTACCACTATTTGGCACTGCAGAATGTTACTGAAGACATGCTATAGGCGGTTTTGGCAGGATCTGGACTACCGACTTGACGGGTGTCGTGTTACAAGTGGTACGAATAATGAACATTTGTGAAGGTTTATGAAATCGGTTATAAAATCTCCATCCCTTTGAATATCTTGTTCGAATTTTGATAAATAAATCTTTTAATGTTCAACGTGAAGCCAATTTCACGTTCTTGGCCTGGGACTTGTAATTGCTTGATATTCACAATTTAAATTGTCCCAACATTTTGAGGGGTTGCGGGACCGTGTATTTTAAATATTCAGAAACTCGGGTAGGCAAGATATATTTGCTATATGTAAATCTTATGAAAATGAACGGGTTTCATATGCGAGAATGAAATGAGAAATAAAGAAACATTTTTTTTTGTTTTTACTCCATTTTTTTCTTTATTAAAATCTAGCTCTCCATAAAGAATATTACAGCATCATTTTTTTTACCCTATCATCCATTCTTGACTTTCAGGTATTTGCTTAATATCCAAGTTGCAGGTTTACCTGCCTATATCTTCTTTCGAATACATCTCTTCACCTCTCTCTCTCTCTCTCACACATAAATATATATACTCGACTCTCCCGTCGACGTATGAGGGTCAAGTAGATCAGTTCCCAGGAAACCGACAGCCCGACAATAGCACATGAGATATGATTATAGTGGTGAAGGTTTCGTGCAGGACCATCCACACTTTTTGAATGGCCGAATACAGAGACCTGGTGCGCTACGTGCCACAAGATCCCCAGAAGATTCTTCGCAGGTTTTGAATTCAGAGTTGTCCTTCTCCTAGACCAGTTGCTATCCATGGCTATAGAACCCAGTCTGTCCTGCTATTTTACCCATAGCTGGAGGAAGAGGATTCATACCTTTCCCAAGGGCATTAGCACGTAAGTGAATGTAATGGATTCGACTGGAATTCGAACTCGGCTCTCAGATTCTTCCATCCAAGACGATATCCATTACTCCACCGTGCCTCCTATTATATAAATGTATGTATTTATATAGACAACGACGAAATTATTCATACACCAATCAATGTTGAATATTTTTACCCATTTCCCAGAATCTTATACCCGTAGCATGCCAGGTTTTGTATATGTTAATAAGCACAAAAAAGAAATATAAAACTAAATTTTCGAACAATAGGTTAAATACAACAAATTTCATAGGCGAAATATGCAAAATAGGAAAAGATTAAATTACTCAATGTTGAGAGGAAAAAGATCATTCAGGCCTTCCGTCATGGTACCAATACTTACAGGACCTCACAACAGAAAGAGGGATCATCATTTCAACTTAGAGTTAAAAACATCAATTAGAAAAGATCCAACTCAATTCTGTGAAAAAGGCTTGAAAATAAAATACTACGTTAAACGTGTGAGGCAATTTGTTACTCCAGATCATTTATATATATATATATATATATATATATATATATATAAATATGGATAATAAAAAAATTAATTACGATCCAATTTATCAGATGTGTAGGTCTGATGAATTGGATAGTAATTACGATTCGAATGTAATAATTTTTAACCATGGAATATTAGTGTTTAAACCTTTTTATTATATTCTTACTCTGTCATGGATATTGAGTTCTACCTGGATTATATCCTCTTGTATATATATATATATATATATATATATATATATATATGTATTTGTATGTATTTATAAATAAATATATATATATATATATATATATATATATATATATATATATATATATATATATGTGTGTGTGTGTGCGTGTATTAACCACTAATATTATCAATATATATATATATATATATATATATATATATATATATATATATATATATATACTGGGAAAGAGAAAGGTAGATAATTGAACATCAGGAAAAGTAAGGTATTATTATTTTCCCGCTTCAATATGACGTCTAACTTTATTCTGAAGGCCGTGTTTTACGTGTATTTACAGTAGAAAAGTATTGTTGATTTTTTAACATCATTTCATTCCATATAAAGCAATAAAGCCTCTAAAACGCAAGGGTGTCACTGAGTGTGAGAAAAAAGAATAAAATATGTAGAGAATTAACGAATGCTTTCAATCATAAAATTAAGCAAGATCAAAAAATAAAATAAATTTCTCCGCCCTTGATGCTTTCTATGATGTAGTATTAGTTTTTCATGACTTGAAGTCAGAGACGACACGAAAGGCAACGCTTACGCCCTAACGATATTCTTTTGCAATAATCTGGGAGTTTTATCATGGATTATGGTCAGGTGTAAAAGATTTTTGAACAGCCGTAATTCAAAAATATCTATTTTATCTTTTTTTTTTCTTTTTGAGTTCTTCATTTGATCAAATTTAGAATCAATTGCCTCTATATTGCTTCTCGCTAGATTAGTCTTACAGATGCATTAATGGCAATTTCAGTCATCCGTAATCTTATGAAGGAAGTACACATCAATACTTCAAAGAGCGCTAACACCTACAAGACTCGAGAAACATATTTATCTGAAAAATGTTTTAAAAGAAATATTTCATAATTTTTCAATCGCTATTGAGTCAGTTATTTTCGAATGCGTCCTTGTTGCCAATTATCATTTCGCTTACCACTTAGGTTTCGTCTAGAGTTTCGAGCTTTCTTTTTTTTTTTTCACGGATTACTGGACTAGGTTTGAAGAGTCGATCATCTGAAACGTTGTGTTAATGTCGTGATTCCCATAGTGGGAGGTACCGCCCCTCCTGGGGGTTGTGAAATGATCCAGCGTACAGTGAGCAAAAAGTGGGCAATCAGAGGGTGGCAGTGGCGCAACTAAAGCATAACATGTAACACACGCACACATACACATATGCAAATCTAATCAAAGGCTGACTATACAGGGGGGGACGTTAGTGTTTTGTTTTGATATCCAAGCGGATGACAACATAAATCTTAAAACGATGTCCAGTGTTAATTATTAAGGCAGACTTTTGAGTAATTGTAAAACTTTAGAAACTTTCGAAAACACATTAAAGGCACTTGGCTTTGTCCCAGAATATGCTCTGTTGTTTTGTTTTTTTTTTGGGGGGGGTACTACAAGCACTCAAGACAGAGTTTTTATTGAGTAGTGAATTAGTTCTTTCATATGAATGTAAGAATAAGAAATAATAAGTAAATATTAGAAATACATGGAGGATAGACACGTATTGACCCTTTATATGAAGATATATTATCGTTGTAGAAAGCATCATCGCGGGAGTCTCATCTACAATACAGTCTTCGGCAAAGGATGTCTGCCTTGAAATTCAATCATTCAAATCGAATATAGGTTAATGTGGATGGTTCTTTCTCCTGTGATATAGCATAGTGTATTTATGCATCTAATATTAACATATTGTATTGATTTGACATTTAAGACAATGATTTTCTCGGAAGTAGATTCAAACACATATATACAAACGCTAGATACACAACTGCATCATTGACACAATTATACACAGCCTTAAATCCACCGGCTCGCATGTATACAGATGCGCACAAAATACAGTTCGTACCCAATCCCCCAGCGATCTCGAATCTAAGGCTCGGAACTGAATATATTATTTTTATTCCACAAAATTATATACCGTATCTTAACTGTTTTCAGAAATTACGTTTAATGAAACTAAACGATACCCACAGATGAGATTATTTAATTAGCAATTAATTAATGAGGTTATTTGATTAATTAATTATTTATTTAATTTTCTAGTGTTTGCGCGCTGACAATCACAATGAGGAAAAAAAGAATACTTCTATCTTTCTCTTTCTCTCCGACTTAGCTGCCGATTTTATCTACTGATCTTTCTCTTTACCCACTCACCGCCATTCTTTGTCTTTCTATCTTTTCCCCGATTGCCACCAATTATTTCATTCTCTTTTATACTGAAAATTCCCTCTCTGATTTCACTTTAATCATTCAGTATTTTCTCTTTCTCACTATTTTATTTTCTGTCAATCTTCCTGCCGATCTTTGTTGCTATCTCTCTTCGCGCTTTCGTAACACTCTCATTATCTATCTATCGGAGTCTGTTCCTATCTATCTATCTATCTATCTATTTATCTATCTATCTATCTATCTATCTATCTATCTCAGTCTGCTTCAATCTATAGCAGTCTGTTCATATCTATCTATCTATCTATCTATCTATCTATCTATCTATCTATCTATCTATCTATCCCAGTCTGTTCGTATCTATCTATCTATCTATCTATCTATCTATCTATCTATCTATCTATCTATCTATCTATCTATCTATCTATCTATCTATCTATCTATCTTCAATCTATCTCAGTCTGTTTCAATCTATAGCAGTGTTCATATCTATCTATCTATCTATCTATCTATCTATCTATCTATCTATCTATCTATCCCAGTCTGTTCGTATCTATCATCTATCTATCTATCTATCTATCTATCTATCTATCCCAGTCTGTTCGTATCTCTATCTATCCCAGTCTGTTCGTATCTATCTATCTATCTGTTCGTATCTATCTCCCAGTCTGTTCATCTATCTATCTATCTATCTATCTATCTATCCCAGTCTGTTCCTATCTATCTATCTATCTCAGTCTGTTCCTATCTATCTATCTATCTATCTATCTATCTATCTATCTATCTATCTATCTATCTATCCCAGTCTGTTCCTATCTATCTATCTCTATCTATCTATCCCTATCTATCTATCTATCTATCCCAGTCTGTTCGTATTCATTCATCTATCCCAGTCTGTTCCTATCTATCTATCTATCTATCTATCTATCTATCTATCTATCTATCTATCTATCTATCTATCTATCTATCTCAGTTTGTTCATATCTATCTATCCACGTTTGTTCACATCTGCCTATCTATCTCGTTTTACTTTCTCGCTTTCTCTCTGCCCTCTTTCATAAATTTTTTCTCTCTACCAAATTCTCTCTGCTTTCTTCTCCCGCCCTATCTCTGGCCTTCTTTATTACTCTCTCTCTCTCTCTCTCTCTCTGTTTGTGTCTGTGTCACTCTCCTGATCTCCACGCTCTCTCTCTATCTATGTACCTATATATGTTATTATTTTCCTTTCTGACTGCTTCTCTCTTCATATTGGCCAGCCCAGATTTTACGCCCAAACTTCTCTGTTTTGATCAGCATGTCTGACCGCATCAATGTCCATTGAGTAACTTCTTCCTGCTTTCCAAACTTCCGGTATAGAGTTATTGGCAAACGCAATCATAATACAGGCAACTTTGTAAATATACAAAATTTTATCTGGAATAAATTTTATTGTCCATAAAATTACATTTCTCTGAATAGATCTATACACTTATGGATAAACGTATTCATCCCAAAATATTTTTCTGAGAAGACTCTTCCGTCTTCCTGTTTTCATCCGAGGTATCCTTACGTATTTCCATGTTTGTAATTCAAACTGAGTTTTTTGTACAGTTAATAGAGCGCTGAATTGGTATTTAATATAGCATTTCTTGTACAGTTAAAAATGGTCTCTTTTAATCAACAAATGCTGGTTTTATTTCAAATACAGTGTGCGATGGATAAATTGTTGTCTAAATTACACAAAAATGAAAATAACATTGACATCTTATTTTAACTGATATATTAATCATAATTAAAAAAAAAAAAGATTATCTTGAAATACTAAAGTGTAAATTTATTCAATAAAATAACCATTAGCTTCAACTACAGCCTCCAGGCGACTTCGGAACCTCCTGAATGTCTTCTGAACGGTCCCCTTATTTAAGTTGGTAAATGTTGCCTTAATCCTTGCCTTCAGTTCATCTTTGGAGTTACAAGAAGTTTTGTTGGCCTCTCACTCAACAGTGCACCCACACATAATAATCAAGGGAGTTGAAATCTGGGGAGTTAGGTCTTTCAGCAGCCACCCTCTAGACCCAGAGTAGCACTACCTCCTCAAGGCACTTAATGTACGTCTCCGTGTTGATTCTGAATGCGTCCCAAGATAGAAAATAATTATCCCATGACATTTATATGTCGTTTTTTTCCCGCGCCCGAATCAAAAGCAAACGTTACTTTTTATTAAAATTTTTATTTTATTTATTCAGAGTTTATCCACCAGGAATATTTATTTTCACAATGTCGACTGCACCCTCTACAAGTTTCTCATCGCTGCACCTGTTATTAAAGGTTTATCTCTGATTATTTGCCTCCTACTAATCTGAAGAAGTATAGGCAGGATGTCCTACTGAACGAACAAATTGGTCTCAGTTGAACCGTTTAGTTTTCACCAGAAGACGTTTTTTCTTGACACTCGTCGGTTCTTTCATGGTACCGATCTTTCATCATTTTTTTTTCGTCTCGCAAAGAATGCAGTTTTATCTCTTCATTTAAAGCTATTTCAAATTTCTATCTTTGGGCTCGCCGTAAATCTATCTATCTATCTATCTATCTATCTATCTATCTATCTATCTATCTATCTGTGAGTACTCCTTTCTATCTGTGGCATGAATCTTTCACTATTGTCTTTCTATTTGGCGTAAATTAAAACCTTATACTGGGTCGTTATTGTTTAATTAAAGTTTTGTTTACCTTTTTATGTACAGATGGACTATCCCGTCTTTAATAAATTATACTTATTGACCCCGGGATAGTCGATTCACGCATTTTATTTTTTTTTACTTTGCTTGTAATAGTTTAGTGTGAGTCTGGCACAAGACAAATAAACCAGCATCCGCTGCCGGGTATAAAGTTTTTCTAAGGTTTATCATCTCTTTGCAAACGTTTTTTTTAAAATTTTATTTTTATTTAGAGAATATTTTAGATTTCTCATCGCTGCACCTGTTATTAAAGGTTTATTTTATTTGCCGGTGGTGGTTGGGCTTTAGTGGTGATTTTTTTTCTTGAGGCGATACTAATGATTTTTTAGTCGCAAACAAGTTTTACTAATAAACCCATTTCAACAAAAAAATAAAACAACATAAAAGTAAAAAAGTATTAGACTTTCTTATTTTGTAGTCTCTCCTGAAAAATTATACTTAGCCGGGATAGTCGAAACTGTATTGAACATCCCAGATTGATAAACCTTTTTTCTATTTGTTCTTTATTTTAACTATCTCAGTCTATTCATCTTGTTTCAGGTTATTCCCATCTATCTATCTTATTTATCTATCTATCTATCTATCCTATCTATTTGTTCTATCTATCTATCTCAGTCTATTCTGTTCATATCTATCTATCTATCTATCTATCTATCTATCTATCTATCTATCTATATTTTTGCCTACTCATATTTTTCTATCTATCTATCTATCTATCTATCTATCTATCTATCTATCTATCTATCTATCTATCTATCTATCATTTAGTCTGTTCATATCTATTCATCTATCTGCCTACTCATATCTATCTATCTATCTATTTTTATGCCTACTCATATCTATCTATCTATCTATCTATCTATCTATCTATCTATCTATCTATCATTTAGTCTATTCATATGTATCTATCTATCTATATATCTATCTATTTATCTATCTATCTGCCTACTCATATCTATCTATCAATCTATTTATCTATCTATATCTATCTATCTATCTATCTATCTATCTATCTATATTTCTGCCTATTCATATCTATCTGTCTATCTATCATTTAGTCTATTCATATCTATCTATATGTCTATAAATGAAATTTTCATTATTGTCTACTCGTATTAAAGTATACTGCGTCATTGAAAAGTAACTCCCTATTATATATAAGTTGCGATGGATGAATTGTCTGAATTACGCAAAAAAATCAAAATAATCCTTACATCTCATTTTAGCAGATATATATCTTGAAAGACTAAATAGTATATTTATTCAATAAAATCGTCATTAGTTTCAGCCACGGCCTCCAGACGACTTTGAAATCTCCTGCAACTCTTCTGAACGGTGTCGTTGTTTAAGTTGTTGAATGCTGGCATAATCCTTGCCTTCAGTCTGTGTTTGGTGTTACAAGAAGTTTTGTTGGCCTCTCACTCAACAGCGCACCCACACATAATAATCAAGAGAGTTGAAATCTGTGGAGTTAGGTGACGAGATATAAGGTGTTATGATTTGGTTCTCTTACATGTGGAGCATGGTGCCGTGTCTTGTTACCAGTCATGGGTCTTCCAGATGCCACCTTCTTGATCCAGGGAAGCACTACCTCCTCAACCTACTTGTTGCAATCTTCCGTGTTGTGTCTGAGGCCCTGTGAGAAGATGAAGAGAGGCATAACGCCGCCATCACTACTGACTCCAAACACCTGAAATGTTCGTATCGAAGCTTCCGGCGCGAATGCAAACAGTACAGTATGTCGTTTCCAAATTTCTGGCGTAGTGAATTGCGTCAGGTTGCTCTTTTTCTCACAAACGATGCTTAACTGCCTCTACTATACTGAGTAGTCGATATAATAAAAAAAAATATGCACCCGTGAAATTAAAACCCATAAAATAGCGACAATTTATCTATCGCATTCTGTAAGTTCCTTTGCCAATTATTATGTCCTCGACAGAATGTGTTATCGATCGCGTCCCTTGGTTGAAAGATTCATGGAACATACCTTTCAAATACAAGGATCTAGTGACTCTGATCTTATTATTTATTAAGGGTTGTCTTTAGAAATGTACGCACAGCCATTCCACAGGTGGTTTCTCGTTCTTATAGAAAGTCAACTCTTTATGACAATTTACAATTCGATAGCGAAAGGTCTTATGTTTCATCTGCAACAATAGAATGAGGTCCTTTTGGAAACGGCAATGTATCTAATCGTGGCTGCGTTCAAGTGGCATGCATTTGTTAAGTTTCCTTAATGTTCCGATTTATTTAATATTACCGCTGAAACCATTATACAAAAGGTTTTATGAAGACTGTCTTTCACTCATGCTTTCATTTAACCCTTCGCAATTGTGGCAAGATTCTATCTGTCTTCTCCAGCTTCAAGACTCTTATCTCTGGAGTCTGTCTCTATTTCTGAGATGAGGTATTATGTACAGTATTTACATTAGTCGGACTATTGTCCTCATCTTTGTCGCCATATTTGTCACAACGTTTCGGCCGTTGTACGCTCCGGCCTTCCTCAGTTGGTTGGAATTTCGAACTGAACCCTTTATTTCGATCACTGGGGTAGACTGTTCTAGTTCCACGTGCCATGTTTGATGGATGTCAGTTATCATTTATCTCCTGCTAATTTTCCCTCTGAAAGTTCTCCACTGCCTTAACCAGGAATTGAACTCAACTTCTTTGGGTCTGTCACTGGATCTAACCAACGCCTTTATCCACTGTGTCATGTGTCCTTGAGGACATCTGGGTATGAACTTCTGAGTATTATAAACCTAATGTTTTCAGCACCATTTTTACCAGTGCTCATATTGCAATTTTGCTGTTATCATCATGTTTTTACCAGAGTTCATATTGCAACTTTGTTATCATTGCTTTTCTCTGGCACTCCTTATTACTGGTTCCCATATTGTATTTATTTCTATGCTTGGTCGGCTCAGGAGATTTTTGTGGCCTAGCATATGTACTGATTCCTTAAGTTTACGAATTTTCCAATGGTGTTCCCTGTCCATAATCTCAACATGATCCCACAGGGGGTGGTGATGTCCCTTCTCTCTCCATATATGGTCAGCCACGCCTGATTTTTCTACTTCCCCTCGCGTTACAGCTTTCTGGTGTTCTTGAATCCTTACCTTTAGGGGGCGGCCTGTCTCTCCTTTACATTCCTTTCCGCAGCTGTACTCATATCTCTGTTTAGGAAACTTCAGAAGTCCTTCAACTGATTCTTATTAATCGGACGTATCAGTCAGTAAATGTTGATTATCTCTAAAAATTCTCAAAATTTAAAAATATTTCCGAAATTTGAATAAACTTCAAAAGATTGATAAGCCATAAAAAATAATTCAGTCATGCTTCTGTATTTTCATTCACTCCGATATCATTCTAATCATAAATATCATAATCTTCGCTCCAGTATACTTGACAAAGGCGCACTGCTCTTGTCGTATTTCCACTGTAAATGTTGAATACATATTTCCTAACTGTATAGTGTTTTGTCGCTATCATTTAAAAAGCTGAAGCCTCCATATTTCCAATTGGATAGGTCATGAATAATGCCAATATTAGCTTACTTGGAAAATACAGACGTTCATTAACCGTGCAGCCAATGCCAATGCCGTTTGAAATCTCCACACTTGTCCAAATTAATTGAAACAAAACGAATAATTCCATTATTATTTACATTTCTTCTTATTTTTCCAATGAAACATGGCCAAGTACATATATAAGTACTTCGTATGTCCATTCCATGAAGACATTCCTTGCAGATTGACCACAGATTCTCGATTAGATTTAAATCAGAATTTCCGGGTCAATCTACCGTACTTTGATTCGCTAACTTGTAAGGCTTGCCAGTGTGTTCCTGTAGCATTACAATTTTCACACGCTTCCGTGGAATAAAGCCTATCGCAGAAAATGGCTGTAGGATAACTAATAGTCAGTCGAAACAATAGTGACTGGTCATGATGAAAATCTGACGCAATTACGGATGACGCAATATTTTTCAAGGTTAAACAAATTCTATCATACATCCCGAAAATAGATTCATATTAATACCCACCACTGCAAATGACTTCATCAGAGGAAAATAGAAATCTTTTAAACCCTACCACTCCAGTGTGTCTAGAACTGACCGTATGGTGAAAGAAAGGAAACTAAAGCGGTTGTTTCAATTAATTGCCCAAGGGTGTATAATATCTTTCTATTAAAACAATTGAGGATAATGGGTTCGCTATGGTCAATGAATGTTGTTTGAATTACTGTGGAGCGTTAAAATCTTGATTCTCTTCGATTTAAATGTCCTTTTCTAAGAAAACACCTTAAAAGATAGTTGTTCTGTTATTTAGTGCAGTTCAATTTTATTCTACCGCGCCATTCAACGATGTTCGAAGAAGCTAATTTTGATCTTTGATCTGAAAAAGTGTTTGTATACAGCTGACACATATTTCTGACCGAGTTTGGTACTTTGCATGAGATCCATGTGAAATTATCGATCTGTCTTAGCTAAGTAAGAAAATGATACGAGTTCTTGTGCGGAATTGACGAGCCGAGTTCGAATTGCAATCGAATTCATTATATTCACTTACCTGTTAATACACTTGGAAAAGGTATAAATCCTCTTCTTCTTCCCCCAACTATGGGTAAGTAGCAGGACAGACCTGGTTCTCTATCCTTAGATGGTAACTGGTCCACCACAGAAAGAAAGGGAAACCTACTGCGGAAAGATTCTACCTCGTCAGTCATGTATCGAAAAGATACATGATCGCCTAAGCGTGTATCACGTATGACACATAACTGACTGATGGTGTTGATCAAAACTACTCCACTGTCAGTTATATGCCAGGCGTGATACATGCTTGGGCGATCATGTATCTTTCGATACATGACTGACGAGAGTGCAGCTCATTCTATGTTCAATTTTTTTTAACTGATCTATATACTGACATATTTGAAGAGTTTAGTATTTCCTAATTCCACGTTTTGAATTTTAAAATTGGATTATGTGTAAAAATAATGGTTAGATCTGATGACTGATTGCTATATGCAAACTTTCGCAAGATTTACAACAAACGAATCCACCTCCAAGAAATGATGGACATGGCAGCATACAGACTGCCGCAAACAACAGAAACAATTTATCGAATCTCTTAAGAAGAGATTTGCAGAAGTTAGTCGGAAATTTTTGTTATTAAATATGAATATCGATAAAATACATTACTTTTTCTTCCAGTTGGAATATCTGGGATTCTGACTGATTTGAGAGGATTCTTTAGATTCGAAAGTCCAGATTTGAACTTATGGCCGACGCTAGTGAACGTAACCCTCGTAAATCTGGTGGATGCTGCAAACATGACTCCAGGTCAAGAACTGTCAGGAATGATGGAATTGGTATCTTGATCTTGGTTACATTTTTTTCCGTTGGTTGTATGGGCGAATATATACAGTATAATGCTAAAACATAGCAGAGGATTTTACAGAAGAAGAAAAATCACTTTCCCATATCGAAAAATATATTTCCTCGGATGAAATACAAGTTTTTTTTCCGATATGATGCTAGTATTGAACACGTTGAAAAAACAAAAACAATAACTAAGCACTAATCAGAATCCAGATTTAAATCCAAAAGAAAATTATTCGTGGATATACTTTACAAAATATTTGAATGTTCGCTGAAGCAAATCAGCATTACATCATAAAATATATAAATTTTCAGAGTAAATACAAAAGTTAAGAAACGTCGAGCCTGGTCAGTATCTAGATTGATGACCACTTGGAAAATACCAGATGCTGTACGTTTGGATGTGCGCGTAGTGTAATGGATAAAGGCCTGGATTTTGAAATTGGAGAGCCGAATTCAAATTTCTGTTGGGTTCGTTATATACCTATCGCGCAAATACCCTTCAGAAAGGTATGAATACAAGTATATTTCTGAGGGCAGATATTATAACTATTTACACGATTTACACCGTTCGGACTATTGTCCTCATATGTGTTGTCTTATTCACAACGTTTCCGCGTTTACGCGCTCCGGCCTTCTTCAGGATCTGCCTATATTTCCGAGGTGAAATTTTGTAACTATTTGCACGATTTACATCGTTCGGACTA